TGGGGGAAACTGTCCCCATGATCCAATCACATCCCACTATGTTCCTCCCTCAACACGTGGGGATTACAATTCAAGATGAGATTTGGGTAGGGACACAAAGCCAAACTATATCATGCACTCATCTATTTACCAGGTGACATTAAAAGCTAACAACTTTGAGCAGGGCTTAGAGCAAGAAAGGGCTCTGTACTAGGTCTAGACTGTAGAGTACGCATTCCTACCTCCTGGACCATATGACCCAGCAGGATTCTATACCACTATACGAATCCACGGCAAAAAAAAGAATTGTGAAGTTTACAAAAAACCTTAATAAAAGAATGACCATGTAAACCCATAAAGCTTAAAGGTAATGGCAAGTCCATGCAATCTGCAGCAGAAAGCCCTCCACCACTGAAAATAAATTTTAATTTTTTTTTAAATCCCAGTGTGCTAAAAATAAGGAATTTAATCTTATCATAGAATATTAAGTGACCATCTGGCCATAGCTACCTATCATGAGCTGCATTCTATCAGAACAACTAAGTCAAAAGTTGGGTGAAGCCAACAACAACTCATGGTAAAACGGAAGTACATCTGGGATCAGGCCTGAGCAGAGCCAGAGGGCACACGCCAGCTGCATGCTCTTATGGCTCACACCTCCAGGTTTGCACTAACACCTCTCCCTCAACCTAAGGTTACATTGGGTGTCCCAGCTAACAGAGGAGGGAAAAGACTGAGTCTGTTTAATGGGTGAGCTAGCTCAGTATATGGAATACAAACATAAAAAGGACTTTTGCTGCTATAGCTACGCTGGAAAATCACGACAACTATTTAGTATCTCCCTCCATTAGTCTGCTTTGGATTACTTATACTCTAGGCTAGAACCTCTGATAAGTCCTCTTTGCCACTATACCACAGTTCTACTTCTGCCCAATCCTGCTTCTCTCACAGCCTAGATGTTACTACACCAAACAGACTTCCAGTAAACCTCCTGCAAGCAAGTGTCTGCCTAAGCACTGCATTTTCAGAGACGCTGACTTAAGATACTATCTGACTTGAGATGTACACTTAGGAAAAATTTGAGCAAGTTTGTTCTTTTTTTTCAATATTGCTACTCAAAGTAGCACCAATTTTGCAGCAGAACTCTAAAGTTTCTGAGGTATGTTGGGAAATTGGAATTAAGTAAGCACATGATAGTTTCAAAATTTATCAAAGGTCATCATTAAAATGGTACAGAATTGTTTATCACTGACTGTGCCTTTTGAAAATGAGAATCAAATCCAGTTTCTGAGTGGTCTAATAAAAAAATCAATCATTTTATATCATATTTTTATTTTATAAATTATTTTATATGACTATCTATTTAAATACCTTAATTTAATATTAGTTATTGAAATACAATCACAATCTAAACACAGTTGGAATCCTCAATTTATTTTCTGTTGGTGATTGTCTAGCACTGTAAATGTTTTAACCAACACAAGAACATCTCTGCGGCATATAAACCTTAGCATAACTGCAGCAGTAAAATTCAGACCCATCAAAATATGTGACATATTACACAAAAATATTCAGCTATGTGAAAAAAATTGATATAGTTTTATTGTTAAAAGCTGTGGTTTTAAAAGACCTTTTCAAAGAAAGCAAGTGACATGAAGATATGGTGACCTTTATGCTGCTTAAAGTCAAATGTCTTCCATTGGCATCACATTCTTTTCTTAATTGTTCAACATCTTGACTTCTCCTGTCTTACTGTTAAACAGCTATTGTATTTCTGTCACTGAAGAAAAAAATATAATTTTTTCTATGTTATAAAATTTATTAAAACATATTTATTAAAAGTTAAAATGTTTAAAATATTTTAAAACTGTCAAAATTTAAATATTTAAAGTTAAATATTTTTATAAATATGAAATATTTATAAATTAATGTAATTAATTATATTAAATTAAAATATTTATAACAACTTGAATGTCTGTTAAGTATTAGAAGTATAAAGTTCACCAATAAAAAGTAACCGAAATTAAAATATTTCATAATGGTAATATTTTGGGCAGATAAATTTTATACTTAATCATTAAGTGTAAAAGCAGTATATATGCTTCAAAGAAACCTGATTATGATAAAAACCAGAATCAATCTTTGGCACCACTTTCATCAATAATTAACAATATCACAAATTCTTTATAACACATGAACAAGGAGAGAGGGTGCTTATCATTCTACTGTACTAATGAATTTTCTTGACTCTCCCCCAAGAAATCTGACAAAGTTACCCCATGCTCTTGAAGGCGTAGCTTATTATTATTATTGTTATTATTATTATTTTTTGAGAAATTCCTCTCTACTGTCAGTAGCATCTGCCGACTCCATCTCCCAAGACCTTGCAGAATTTTCTCATTCAAAGATTAGGAAAGAGGTGAAATCTTCAAGATGATACAAAGCATACACATAGTAGATACACCCAAACAATGTGATGAATCATTAAAAATAGCTTAATCCCTGTTCACTCATTCATTCAACATATAGCTATTGAAAACATTCAACATATCCAACAATCTCTGAGTAGCTGGGATTTCAAAGTTCTGGAGTCAAACTACTGGAATTTGAATTGTCTCTATATTTGCCATCCAGGTAACCTCATTCAAGTTACTAGACTTTGCTCTGTCTCAAATCCTTACAGGCAAAATGGTACTGGTAAATACATTACTTATCTCCCAGGATGGAAGTGATCATTAAATGAGTTTATGCATATGCCTAGCAAGTTAAATTTGCTCAGTAGTCGAGAAATGTTTGTCAACTGCTGATAGAAGAGAAGGAGAGAACTTGTGTATAATGCCTCTCGGGTATAATGCAACATGAAAAAATATTATGTAGGAATGGAATTGACATTTTGATGAATTTTCTGTGGCATACATGATGTTTCTCTAGGTTTGTTTGGTAGCATGTAATAATAGTAAGATGATGTTTTTAATTATACATATTTATATTCAAAGCATACCATAAATAATGAGCAGATATACTTTATGTGCTTTATTTTGTTTTATTTACATTTTATTTCTAAACTCATCCAATGTAATGCTTCTCTTCATCTACATAATCAACTTTTTGATGTTTTACTTCAGCTATCTTTCCACTCAAGGAACAAAAAACTCATTCTTCCTATTGGATCCTTCACCCTCATCCTTTCTATTAGCTCCCGCTTCACTAATTTTATCTGTACCTTTTAGAGTTCCTCTCACTTGTACCTTCTGATGGGTTCCATCTATGCCAATGATAAACCTACTATCGGCACTTGAAAAGGAAGGACATTAACAGAGTCAATCCCTCTGCATAGTGCAGTGTTTCTCAAGCCTGCTTGCATATTAGAGTCACCTGCAGGGAAAATGGTCTTTTTAACACATCCCAGTCCCACTCAATAAATACGTCTGTTAGTAGTACACAGGCATCAGTATTTCTTAATAACACTCATACATCCCATTTACATATGAGGAAACTGAGGTTCAGTCAGACTAAATGGATACCTCATGATTATGTAGAGATTAAAGGACGAGCTATGACTCCAATTGAGCTCTATCTTATTCTTAAACCCTAATTGTTACCTCTGCATGTTTATGCCTAAAACAAACCTTATCTATTGTTTACTTCATCTATGGTTCCAGTACAATTTTCCCCTTAGCTTATTGTACACACATGTGCACACACTCACACATGTACGTGCGAGAGATACCACATCTCTCCTCTACTCTAGAGCAAAAAATATTTTTATAACTACTGCTTAAAATTATATTGTATCATCCTACTGTCCCGTATCTTCCTTCCCTTCTGCAAGAAACTCTCTGGAAAGGACAACTTACAGCTGATTACTTATTTCCATTAAGTCATTAATCCCTTGTACCATGATATTTACCTTCTTAAAGGTTATTAGCAAGCTCTTAAACAGCAAGTCCTCTCTTAAATAAACATGATTTGAGTGCCTAGTATTTTCTTTGCACTGGAGCTAAACATTCAATTAATATATCTTACTGTCTTCCAAGAAGTTTACAGTAAGAATGACAAAGAGGCCAATGATATTACAGATGGTGATAAGTGTTTGAGGAGTACAGTGGAGACATGCCCATTCAAGTAAGCTTATACAGGGGATGTGATGTCTGAGGCACCTTGCTTTGCAAGTAGAAGTTAGCTATTTAAAGCAGAGTGAAAGAGGTCAGAGACGATATAAAGAAAACATATGCAATAAAGTTCTATGCAAAAGAATACAGGCATGGCATTGTGACAAGCTTTGTAAGCTACAAATGGTGCTATATTCCCAGGATTAACGTATCTGTGATTGTATAGGTCTTAGGGATAATAAAGAACATGTTTGTTTTCATCAGCTAAGAATTTGGAATTTGGGCAATGGGAAGTTGGCCCAACTATCTATTTTCTTATAGGTAAAAATTGGAATAATATTACCTTCCTCCTCATGGTTTCATGAGTATTACATGTTAGGGTGCTTTTTGCTCATGGGCACTTAGCACCTACTCACACAGTGTGGCTCATAAATATTTTGTGTCATTACATAGGAGCAGTGTAGGCACTATTTGAAGCTTTTTAAGAAAATGTAGAACAGAAACCCTGAGGTCAATTAGGAGCCTACTGCCTTGGCAGGCAAAAGTGATTAATGAGGGCTATTCAAGTGGTAATGGAGATTAATGGGAGATAACAGAATGCAGTTAAATCTACTTAGGAGGGGGTTTGTGAACTTTCAGAATATAGTTTCAAGAAAAAGTATTTCAAGAATTTATGAATTATTGTGATTAAGAAAAATTAAATAATGGATTTTTGAATAGTAGAACTTATTAGACCTTTAAATGAAAGTATTTATAATTCCTTTAATTAGGCATCTTTCATGTAACTAAAACTGAACAATACATTAATTAATCACACCATAATTCTTCTCTCAGTATGGTGAAAGTTTTTCCATGCTTTGGGGATCCTTTTTTAGACATAAGAACATTGATATTATAATGTGCTTCTTACCAGGGTCAATTGTGCATCCACCACGAACTATTCATGGCTAGAGGAAATACTTTACAATTATTATTCCATTTTAAATTTGTTTTCCTATATAGAGAGGCTGACATTATCAATGACTTTACAATTCCTAATAGGATTACCACTTTGATATTCACAGGCCCACTATACTAGAATCATTTACATAACAAGAAATCTGACAACTGATCCAAATGATTGTCTTGTTTACTCCCATTACTCATGTTTTAAGTAAATACACTTACAACATAGAGGATGTTTCCTTATAGTTTCATAGCAATTTACTTGTTGATATTAAAGCTTTACTCACGCCATATCCAAGACACTCGTCACTATTATACTATGTCTCCAGGGCAGCTAAGAAACATGCGCACTGTTACCTTTTTATTGACTCCATAAAAATAGATTTAGAGAAATCAGGCTTGGGCCACATCTCCCCTAAATTGTAGGTCATTGCAGATATGGATAAGGTCTTTTCAATGAAATGTTGGAGCATAACCCCCTTTGGAGTGGGATGAATAGCTATTAGAAGGCAAAACAAATTGTATATAACTAGTCTAGACAATTCTTTTAAAGGGTATTTGCTACAAAAATAACAGAAATGGGTTGGTTGCTGAAGGAAGGAATGGGACAGAGAAGGTATTTTGAAAGTAGGATATTTTAAGTCATGTCAAGCAATGTGAATAATCCCGTAGAGAGAGTAGAATTTTCCATGAGAAGATCAGAGGGATGGGTGCCCAAAGCATAACCAGAGAGAACAACCTTAGAAAGGAGCAAGGAGTCTTCTGGAATGAGAAAGGTCAGGCTTTGTAGTACTGATGCAGACATGTTTGTAGAGTTGGTTTTAGGAGTCAGGGAGAGTTTGTGAAGCCAACTGTGTCTTTTTTGTTTAGGAAATGTGTGGAGATACCGCAGATCAGAGTGAGAAGAGATGGAAGTGTTAGAAAGCTGTGAAATTGTTATTACTGTAAGGGGTAAAGTGAATTTATGAAGGACATAAGGTTAGGTGTGTCTGTATTGAGCTGCCAGTTGAAGCCATGGTCATCAATCTGAAATGAGTTCAGAAGGCATAACCATGTTATGTTCAACAGGAACACACTGATGCTTGGTTGCAGTCATAGAGCAGACTGCACCTAGCTGGATTTCATCAGGATTGAGATTTTTTTCTTAAGTTTTAAGGAGGCTGTTGGGACAAACTAGTTAAGTGTTTGCAGAGAGTAATTGTGCTGGACAATGGAATCCAAACCATGTAAGAAAGGTGACACATGAAAGAAGTAATGGATAAAGAAAAAGTAATAGGGTCATCAGCTTAGATCCTTAAATAAGCACAGAAATATTTTGGATTAAGTTGGGTAATAGAGAATGGGCTCCTTTGTAATCTAGATTTGTTGACAGTGTTGCAATTACTGATGATGACAAAGTCTTGAGTGAGGCCATGCAAATGGATGTTTGGAATAGGGAGAAGGACCAAAGAGTAGGAACAAAGGAGTTAAAAGAACTGATCGGCCATTATATTGGTTGGTAGTTTTTGTGGAGGTTCAACATGCCAAAAAAACATGCCAGGAAAAGTAGTAGCAAAAAATCCCTGTGAGCCAGAAATTAAAGTTATTGATGATTTTGAGGATAACAGTAATAGCAATTAATGGCTGTTAAAATCTGATGATAGACACAAAAGGCAACAATTTGTGAAGGAAGAAAGAGACATATTCCAGAAGAGGATGAAATGGGGAATAATTAAGTCACTTATTCCATCTTTAGACTCTGTGACATTGGGATGTGTGTGCAAGTATGAACACCTCCACAGCAGTGTCCTTCAAGGTAAAAAAAAATCATTAGTGTAAGAAGTGAAAGGAATAGTATGGTGGGAAACACATGTATACACATATGTATGTACATATATATGTATGTGCATAATGTATATTAATATGGTTTGATAAATGCAATTATGAAGCATGTGTGAGTTTCTATAGATATATCTAACTTGGTCCAGGTGTGGGATTGGAGAGGGTGGCAGTACACATAACTGAATTTAGTTCCAAAATATGACAACGGCAAAGAAGGAGAGAAAGCTAGGTGAAATGGAAGGGAAGCTTGCTTGTAAAAAGTCTAGGAGTTTGCATACAGCGCTTAATGCCAGGACTGTGCAACCTCTTTCCCACTGTTCTCCATCTAGAAAAAGACATATATTCTTCATGTGACCCTCTGGACTAATTATTGTACAAACTTTCCTCTGACTGGTCTAGCTCACTTGTTCTCTGAATTCCTATGGAGTGTATTATATGTTGGCATGCACAGTTGTCAGGAATTAATAAACCACCACACATTATTCCCTACAATATTTTTCATATATTTTCCCAACTAAAATATGGGTTCTTGAAGAGTAAAGACCATATTTTATACTTCTCTAAATTTCTTAAGTAATCCATAGATAACTGTAGAGCTCTACAGTTAAGTGTTGCATAAATACCTGTTGAATTAACCTTATAGATCAAATTGGGTACAAATTATTTTGATACTAACTGGAAAATACTTTACCAACGCAAAGACATTGAGTCAAATATAATTTTACCAAAAACTAATTCTGTAATTGAGCAAAACTATGTGGTTTGGGGTTGATATGAAAGAAATATATGTTAAATGAATGTTTCAGTGAAAGAACTCCTATAAGACAATTTGGCATACAGTAAATATTTGTTAAATATCTGAGTGTTATAAGGATGAATGGGCATCATAGGTGTCCTTAGCTACACCCCAACTAGATTATGTATGTAATTTAATTTCACCTAATGTTTTTCAGACTTCAATAGGGAGAAAATACAGAACAATAAAATTGAATGCCATCTCACTAATATACATCATCCATATATCTACAGATATATCAACATTACTATATTATTTTCCTCATCACTGATGTCACACAATGTCAATCACTTAAAATTGAATTCGCTCTTTCTTTCTTAATTTCCACCTCAATTGAAATGTCTAAATTCTCTCATTTTCATTGAAGAGTTACCATTCAGTATGACATATTTGCAAGTGCTTTTTATTGTCTGGACACTGTGAAAAATAAGAGTAGCTATTGTAATAGCTATGACATGTTTTTTCTCTTTGTCCTTACCTGACGATTTCCAGGAAGCAAGTTTGGTCTCATGTTTGGTTTGGGATCACTACTCAGTAAGTTTCCATGCCCATAAAAAAAAAATAAAGACATAATGGAAGTATTTATTTTAGCCTTTAAAACAAATAATATATTTTAGTGCTTTTCTGCATAAGTACTAAATAATTCCATAGTTTAGTTTTTTATAAAGAAGTAGGTAAGCAAATACTACATAATGCTATATTTAAATAGCCCTTACATTAACTGTTGATAAACTTCTATATATAACAAATCAATAATTTTGTGTTCTTAGGTTCAAATCTTTCTACTATTATTAATAATTCCAGTTAATATCTTTTCTAGACAGAGATAATGGATCTTGATGCTGCTCTAAGTAATAAATTTATATATTTCATCTTAGATTCTTGAAAAACAAACTGTATTTGTTCTAATTTCTGTGGCAGTTATCACCCCTAATCATTATATAAATAACTTCACTTGAAAATAGTAACAACCCTGTAGAATTGGTAGAATACCAGTAGCAGATCCCAGTGTTCATCTATAAATCTGATTTTGCTCTCTGCTATTTCCCCATGCCTAGAAGAATATTATGTAGTCAGTAGGTATTGTTGAATGAACATAAGAGTCATTTTTGAAAATTCCTCTTTTAAAGAATTTAGGAGCAAAATTTAAACTTCTAAAACACTAATTGCTGTGATCTGAATGTCTGTGTCCCCTAAAATTGATATGTTTAAATTGACCCCTAAGGTAATGACATTAGGAGCTGGGGCCTTTTGAGAGATATGTCATGAGGGCAGAGCCCTTGTGAATAGAATTAGTGTCCCTTATAAAGGAGGTCCCTGAGAAACCTCTCGCCCCTTCAGCATGTGAGGTTGTAGTAAGAAGGCTCTGTCTGTGAGGAAGCAGGCCCTCACCAGACAACAGATCTGCTCCTGCCTTGATGTTGGACTTCCCAGCCTCTGAAACTGTAAAAAAACAAATGTTTTCTGCTTATAAACCACCTATCTTCTGGTATTTTTGTTATGGCAGCCAGAATGGACTAACATACCAATCACTATTTTGTGGCTCTATATTTGAAAATTAATAAAGCATTAAGGAACACATCTTATTGCCTAAAATTTCTTTCCTTAAAGCATCAGCCCTACTTTTACCTTGGTACCAGTCCAGTCCCTTTGGGTGTGAGACTTGGTTGACTCTGGTGATGTTTGTGACAGTGGGGAAATAATCTTGAACAAACGGGAGAACTACAGTAAAAGAACAAAAAACAGGGGTGCAGTATGTTTGAAAAAAGAAACTGAATGCTTATTTTTTGATCAAAATTGTCAAAATTTATCAAAATCAGCTCCCTGCTTTGATCTTAACCAAATAGCCTTAAACTTCTAGTTAACCCTCCACATGCAAAAAATAAAACAGTTGCACATAATGCCAATAATATTTCTTTTGAATGTGAAAGTAAAAATAATGTCCTTAAACTGTTTTAACAAAATCAAATAAAAACACCAGCTCCTTCAACATAAAAATATTTCAGATTACTCTGCCATTTCTACATTCAGAAAAAAAAGTATGAACATGGTAGATGACATTGAAATATCTGGGGAGAAGTTTCCAGTGTAATAGATTCCATTCTAGTGGAATATCTGGGAAGAAGTTTCTAGTGTATATGGTAGCACTATTATTCTGTTATATTCTTCCATGATACATTTGAATCAGATTTCATTCAGGAGTTAGTTATAGGGAAAAGGAGGAAATGGGTGCAACACTTACTTTTAAACCTACTTATTACACTTTAATTCACTGTATTTTTTGGACAATTGGTTCCTTTTTAAAATTCAGTAATAAATTGCTTATTTATTCAGGCACTTGATATCACCATTATAAATCCAAATATTGTGCTAAGGTATATATCACCTTCAAAACAAAAATTCAAATTTACTATACTATCTCCATTTTACATAAAAGTGGTAGCTTCTCAGTTGTCCTTAATACATTTTTACTTTCATGCTAATACAACTATTATCTTTAGGTTTTATTACTTTACCTTGTAGAATCTATACTCCATATTCCAGGATAAAAGTCAGACTTTTGTTAGTGAGGAAATATAGTAGTGTTCATATAATCCTGTTTCCATTTTTATGTCTCTCAAAAGAAAAATCACCCTTAAATATAAACTAAACTATATTTTATGTATTTCCTTTATATTTTCCTCCATTCATTCTTCTACTGCCAGTTTCAGTGGCATGTTCTCTGTGAAACATTCCCTGCCCAATCTCTCCGAGTCAGAGTTAAGTATGCCATAGAAAGATATTTAAATTTCAATTACCCTCTCTTTTTACTCTCTCTTTTAATCTATTGCAACCATTCATTCTCCTGAGCCCTTTCTAGTCAAGGCTGTGCTCCTGGAGGGCGGGTACTGCTTGTTATCATCTCTGTATTCTGCTCACCTGGCACAATCTGAGCTGTGAAAGCTCAGGAGATATTTCCTGAATTAATTCACTCCTTCTATAATTACTGTTGAAATTCTTTCATCTTACCTTTTTGAGACTTCTGTCTATCCTTTGACAGGAAAATACAGGCAGAGGACTTGATCTTATTTAAATATGTACCAACTAAATTTCATCTGTTCCTTTTCTATGGGAAATTTAAAAATCTCATTTCCTTTTTTTTTTTTCAGACGAATGGTTTTAGCTTGAATCATTTGATTGATCACTTAGCGAAAGAACAGTAGCTTTAGAACCAAAAGATCTTGGTTAAAATCATTTATGTAAATCTAAAACACTGATGCTGTTACCTATCTCTCAGCATTGTTGTGATTATCAGCAAGGATAACATCTGTAAAGCACTTAAAGTAATAGATGCTCAATGACATTTTCTCCAATTTCTTCTTTCTACTTTCATCCTGCTCTTTTTAAGCCATTGCTGATGGACTTTATGAGCAATGAACAAATTCAAATAGAAACAGCAATTAAAATCTTACTCTTTAAAGAGGCACCATGCAACAGCGTAGAGGCACATCACAAAAAGAGCTCCTGTTAGAGTTAATAACGCAGGAATCCAGTTATCAGGGATCCAATAATACGAAATCTTTATTAAGACAGAAGTAGTAATCTGAGAAATATAATAAATATGAAGTATTAATAGCAGTTCAATGGACAAAACTATAAAGATGTATATGCTGTGTAGAATATCTCACACATTTCACTTTACTTCTTCTCTTTGAATAATTAAAAATAAATATAGCAAGTAACAAGGCATAATAACATCTCTTAATGCCACAAAAAACAAATATCATTTTTTCTAGAAACAAATGTCTTTGTTTATAATATTTCTTCTGGCCAGAATTCTTTCTCCCGTCTTGCCTTCTTGGTGAATATTTGTTCATTATCATGGTTATCCTCTACCATCGCTCTTGCAAAAAGCCTGACTTTGGGGTAGAAATTACCATACCCACACCCTCTTTTCTCATGTTTCTACTGTAATATCTAGAATACTTTGCCACATTTACTTCCTTTGTGATTCTTCCTACTAGGAAATAAACTCCTATTAAACAGAACCATTTCTTGCTCATCTTTGTGGATTCTCTGTAGTTCTTGGCACAGAAGACAATAATTAGTGTTGGCTAAATGACAGATAGAATGAATCAGCAAGTTTTTTATAGGGCAAAGCATTATTTCAAAAATGGGTCAGATCACTGTTGCCCTTTCCTGCTTCCTATTGTAAAAGCACAAAAAGTTTTTACCCAAGTAATTTTCCATTACTATCTAAAGTATGACCATTTAAGAAGCTAGCAATACAAAGTTCAACACAGATTTTAATGTAAAGTCCATGACCAAGCAACATTACCTTCCCAGCAGATGGCAGCATATGACAGGATAAGTTTTGTGAACACTCAAGTATTAAGGTGTCTTTTTTTCTTCTTCTTCTTCTTCTTTTTTTTTTTTTTTTGTTGAGACGAAGTCTCGTTCTGTCACCCAGGCTGGAGTTCAGTGGCAGGATCTCTGCTCACTGCAACCTCCGCCTCCCGGGTTCAAGCGATTCTCCTGCCTCAGCCTCCCGAGTAGCTGGGATTACAGGCATATACCTCCACACTCAGCTAATTTTTTGTATTTTTGGTAGAGACGGAGTTTCACCATGTTGGCCAGCCTGGTCTAGAACTCCAGACCTCAGGTGATCCGCCCACCTCAGCCTCCCAAAGCTTTGTCATTTCTTAAGGCAATATAATTCATGAGGCTGATTTCACAGAAATAATAAAAGGAGAAAGCAGACCTCTGCAAAGAAGATCAGTCCACAATGGTAGTAACAGAAATAACACCACTTATACAATTGAGTGAGAGGACTCCTGGTTACTTTGTTGAATTTCGATAGTTGCAGAGATCAAGTATTATAGGACTGAACATTCTGCTTTATACAACAACAATAAGGGCATGTCTGGACAAAGAAAGAACAAGAAAGGTTCCAGTAGTGTCAGCTGAAGTATTGTGGCATTGTTTTCTTAAATAAATACTATGCTGTATTTCCAGATCATAGACTAAAAGAATGACAGACAATTTGATTACCACACTTAATCACCTAGCTCTATTTACAACTCGTTAAGAAATAATACCTGTGCTAAGCACCGGTATGGGGAAGAATGTCGCAACTAATGTAAGTAAAGATACCACAGCCCACACCTGTTTAACTTGCTTTCTCATTCCTTCTTCCATCCTTCCTTATCTCCCTCCCGACTTCCTTCCTTCCTTTTTTTCCTTCTTCCCTTCCTTTCTCTTTAACAAATGTTTATTGAGCAGTTACCATATTTCAAGAATCGCCATATGAAGGAAATATAGAGCCTGACAAAAGTGTTTGTGAGAAAACATTGAAAACATATTCTTAGAACATGTTTCTTTCTTTATTGGGCACATTTGGTGACAGCATGGCAGATTAAAACAAAAAGGGTAGGGGTAGCATTAATTTAAAAGCAACTGTTTGTCATGGTTGGTGCTGAGCCTTTTAGCTATATTATTTAGTTATATTATTAACATAGCCTTTTAAAACTATATTACTTGCCCATTCTAAGAGAGATGTGTTCAGAACCACCAATTTACGAAGGAGGAACTAAAGCTCTGTATGTTAACAAAAGTTCCATAGCTACTAAGTGGCAGAATTTGTATTCAGATAAAAATTCATGTGTCTCCACTAAGTGGCAGAATTGGTATTCAGATAAAAATTCATATATCTCCAAGACCATGTTCTTTTCAATGGACTAGGCAACGTCCCCCAAAATGAGGATATGAGAGCTCTGAGAAAACAATCCAATTCCTATACCAAGGCGTGTAGGCATCATTTTGTAAATCACAATTATATTCATATAAAAGTAATTACAAATTTTCATCCATGAGAACTTAACTGTATAGAGCCAGTTCGAGGCACCTGAAAATTGTGTAGAGGTTAGTTGAAGGAATCATCCTAACTTTCTACACTTTCCTGGCCTGACAAAAAAGAGTAGATTTCCTGATTTCTGTTTTCTCTGTCTTTTATTTCCCCCTCTCTCTCATATATGCACACAAAGAAACTACTAAAGCTTTTATATTAAATAATTCACATTTTTTCATATTTCAAAATCTAAGATAAGTAGGAATATTACTTTTTTCACTAGCAATGTAAAAGCAAAATCTTTGTATAGGGATTAAATATAATAGTAATGGTTTATATATACATAACATTTATTACAAGAGCTTTCATATCCCTTGTTTCATTTAATCCTCACAAAATTCTTTGTACAATACATATAGCTATTCTAATCTAATAGCCATAGTAATCCATGTACACAGAGTAAATATTGAAGTGTATATTATGTGCAAGCTGGACCCTGTCAGCAATATCCTTTTTCAATTGGTGAGTCAAAACATTTTTAAAGAGCCAAATTTGGGGATTAGTATTTGATCCTCTCAGCACTTCCATAGCTTATTCCTTTATCCCCTTATGTTTTCATTGTTTGTAAACTCTTTGGAGGCCCCAGTAGGTGGTAACCATGAGGGTAAAGGCAAATGCCTGGTCTTATTTCTGGCAATTGCATTCTGCCTGAACCTGCTGCCTCCAGTCTTCTCTTCTGCATTCTATCTTTCACTCGGCTGGTTTAGTTTCAATGATTCATTTGCACTTCCTAGGAATCTAACATGGCTTTGTATTAACTACAAAACAAAGTCTAAAACCCATAGCATTGACTCTAGGCCTTTGTCAGTCTCCCTACTCTCTACCTTTCTGGCCTTGCCTCTGGCCAGTGCTCCTCACATGCTCCAGACATGCTTGGTTTCTCTCCTTTCAAGAAAAGACTGTGCAATCCCATATCCATACTCCTCAATTTCCACCATTTTGAAATGTCTTTGCTTCTCATTCTATCCATCAAAGACCTACATAAAATACAAATATCTCTTCTGGGAGTTTCTCAATATTCTTCAAGTCAGAATTTGCCATGTTATCTGTCCTCCATTTATTTACACTTCCTTTATAGCACTTGTCAAAATGACTTGTAATTTGATTAATTGGAAATCAATCTCTATACTTACTATGGCTTTTAAGTCTTTGCATAATACGATCCCTGTCAATCTCTTCACCTCATTTCATTATCTTTTGTCCAAGTCACTTGCCTTACAAGCCAGGAGATTCCTCAAGCCTTGACCATTTCTCTCTTTGCCAGTCTTTCTGGTTCTACCACTCACTATGTCTGTGACCTTGATAAAGTTATTTAAACTTCTGGTGTCTTCATTTTCCCCTTTCTAACATGTACAAAAACAGCTGACACTAAATATGATTTAATCAAATGATTTTTTTATGTAGAAATTTTACATATAAATAGATTATAAAGATCCTTTCCAGGACTAGGAAGTTTTTGTCAGATATTAATTAAATTAAAATAATAAAATTTGATTTGATTATTGCATCTTAAAATTTCTGAAAATTATTTTAGATTATGTATATATAATTGTGCAAAGTGTACCTTTTTATATTTACTTTTAAAATGTAACTTAAAACTTTTTTTCCACAGTTTACAGTTTTGCCTAAGCAGAAAATATGAAGATACTTATACTTGGACAATTGACCAGTTACTCCTCCCTGTCAGGAACATGATGAGTGATGAAATAAATGGCTAAGGATTGACAGGACCCTGGTTTTTGTATGTCATCGGACATTTATCTCACCATTAGGTAAATCACGAGTGAAAACAAAAGAATTTCTCATCTGTCATGTGGTCATGCACTAAGCTTCTTACAGCTGTGCACAGTTAATTTGGTTTGATTCATAACCTTAATTACTTAACTTGTTATATTTTACAGAAAAGACAATAATAATAATCTTCCCTATCATGAAATCTTTCGTCAGTGGGCATTATAGTCTCAGCAGATGTGCAAGGCTATGACCTAGATGAGTAAAATTTATACTATTTCTACTGGCTTTCAAATTATTTCATTTAATGCTCACTGGAAGAAGATTATTTAAAAGGTTGCAATTCAGAAATTCTCATTCAGTGTGTCTAATGGATGCTTCTTATGATCTCTTTCTTTTTTTTTTTTTTTTTTAGAATAATGTAACTTTATTTTTTTTTTCCTTTTTTTTAATTTATTTATTATTATTATACTTTAAGTTGTAGGGTACATGCGCATAACGTGCAGGGTTGTTACATATGTATACTTGTGCCATGTTGGTGTGCTGCACCCATCAACTCGTCATTTACATCAGGTATAACTCCCAATGCAATCCCTCCCCCCTTCCCCCTCCAGATGATAGGCCCCTGTGTGTGATGTTCCCCTTCCTGAGTCCAAGTGATCTCATTGTTCAGTTCCCACCTATGAGTGAGAACATGCGGTGTTTGGTTTTCTGTTCTTGTGATAGTTTGCTAAGAATGATGGTTTCCAGCTGCATCCATGTCCCTACAAAGGACACAAACTCATCCTTTTTGATGGCTGCATAGTATTCCATGGTGTATATGTGCCACATTTTCTTAATCCAGTCTGTCACTGATGGACATTTGGGATGATTCCAAGTCTTTCCTATTGTGAATAGTGTTGCAATAAACATACGTGTGCGTGTGTCTTTATAGCAGCATAATTTATAATCCTTTGGGTATATAC